CGTCAAAGGTAAGCTGGTGTTACTGTTGTGTCTTAAAAAACATGAAACTCTACTTATTAAAAAGTATATTTCTGAGTAGATTGAAACTATTTTCCAGTTAAAGACGAAATAACTATGGGTCACCTGACCATTCGCATGAAATTACCTTGCCTCGCGCTATAAATTTCAGGTATTTCGCTTTTAAGAACAGGTGTCAATCACGGGTTTAAGAATGTACCAAGCTATTCCAAAGCTATTCCAAACAACTTGAATTTTATTAGTACTTTTGCTACTGTCGAGATTTGTCTAATGGTCATTTATCTCTCTCACGCAATTAGCTAAGCAAGTGCCACGAGCTATGCAAACTTTCAACACTCACTCTGTGGTATTACATTGGTGGAACAGTGGCGGCAGCGATTGTCATTTCGCCAATTGCCTGGTATTTCCGCAAACGTCGAAGGACAGGTGACGTCCATTTTTCTGTATTATTTCAGATTTCTTTGTCTGAAAGTAAAAGAAGGAGATTTTATAAGAATAACTCACGTGCGGCCAAAAAATGCCAATTTTAGAGTGTTTTCACTTGTATATGGTGTCATCATGATAATCATTTCTGTTATTGCTGGCGGTGTTTTGCTAATAATTACAAATTAAGAAAATATCACGTCTCTCCTAATTTGTGCAACTTCGAACTACGCTGCCTTTACACAGAAATTTTATCAGAATATTCGATTTAATAAATTAATGCAGAGTTTTACCTTCTTCGTCCCCTTTAATTCATCATTTGGAATTGCAGCTATGGCTCTGTAAGGCAACTATCAAATCATCGAAAAATAAAATACACCATTACCTTCCTCATGGGTCACCAGCTTGCATGATGACGATAACAAAAATCATATCGCAGTGACTTTACTTTTATCGTGTTTATGATGCATTATTAACATTCATCAAGTGCTGTTAGAATCGGCTTCATTAGTTCCTTTGTTTAATTTTTTTTATCTCTTTAGTATCTTCTATCTATTTTCGGTTTGATTAATTCATAGATTTAATACTTTGAAAAAAAATTGAAATACACTAAGCAAACGACGAAGCTATTGTTGAACTTCGTCCAGTAGATAAAGTATACTTAAATAACAATAATTACTGATATGTTTTGTAATAATTTATGCTCCTGGTT